TTTTTTTTTAAATTGCTCCAATCTATTGGTGGGGAGCAGCACGTGCTGGGAACCGGGCCCAGCGTCCCTTATAATGGAAATACATTCATGATTGATGATCATTGATGATCATTGATGATAATTTGGGATGATTGAGGATCATTTAGGATGATTTAGGATGATTTAGGATGATTCAGGATGATAGAGTGGATGATTGAGATCATGAAATACAGATAGAAGATGACTAATCAGAATGATTGTCTACCCAGCACTCAAATACTATCCTATCCCTAAATTCCTGTATCCATTCCAACCAACCAATCACAACTGAGCCTGTGCTGTGCACCAATCAGGCCTCTTCCTGGTGTCTCACCCCATTCTGGCCCGGTTACAGGGCAGCGCTACCTACCCCATCTCCGACCATCGTCGGCCAGATTGTAGCTATTAGTCAAGTTAGCAGATCACCTTCCTCCCTCGGCAATCCCAGACCTCTATACAAAGCCTCAAGCTCCTACTAAAGCAGGTTACAGGGCACCGCCCCAGCGCCGGCCAGCGTCGTTCTAGCGCCAACTCAACCTGGCCATTACACAAAAAGGCTCAATTAGGAAATTAGCTAAGCTAGAATGCCAACTAGAAATCTAGGATCTGATAATATCAGAATCCTGATAAAAACCTTTCTGATGATGAAATTCAACGAGTACCCTGAAATGATCACTAAATTGGTGGATAATGATGAGGATGCTGATGTCTATTCCTCTCCACCCCTCCCCCTCCTCCATGTGCTCTCCTCCTCTCCCCTCGTTTCCTGTTCTCCTCTTCTCCTCTCGCTGCCTCTGCTGATCTGAACCCCACTATCAGTATGAAGTTTCCATCAGCCCCAACGAGAGAGATATCCTCCCCATTCCCTTCTGCCTTGAAGTAACCAGTTCCCCCAAAAGGTGTACCTCAAATCTGACACTCTGACCTAGTCTGCCTCCGCCAGGATATAATGTGCCCCCATACATATCTCCCAGCCCCAGCCCARGTCARCTCCCATCATCTGCRTSYACTCCCTAGAGGGCAATCACCTCCCACCTTGTGTTACCCCTGCGGAGTAGCGCTCCCTTCCTGACCAACCTACCTACCAAATAGACCATAACCAATCTGGGCGAAGAGAAAATAACCACCAACACAGAGATATCTACTGATTGATGAAAAAAAGAATAAAGAAACTGTAATGATGATGATGATGATGATGATGATAATGATGATGATGCTGATGAAATAAAATTGGCGAGAAATGAATAAGGAACGTTTGAACTTGCGATACCCTAATGACACCGGTGTGGAAGATTGACAACACTATTGCTGTAATAATAAAAGAAGAAGACAGTGATTAGTAGGAAGATTATGGCCAGTGAAGATGATGACCCATTGACCCGTAATGAAGAATTATGAATTGATACACTTTAGTATGAACGACTCCGGATGATGATTCCCCGCAGAAATGACAATGATGATAATCTTGATGGATAACCTGCACAAGATTAAAAAAATAAAAAATAAAAAAAAATGAGCAGCTCCCTTGATGATGACTCCTTGATGATCTTTCTCCTGAGAATGCGGGCCAGCGCTGTGATAACGTAGACAAGCGAAGTCCAACGCACTTCGGTCTCCATGGGGCGAACTCCACTTTCTTCCACCGACATTGGCATTGCACCAACTCGCTTGAGCATTACAGCCTCCTAAAGGGGCGTTAGCTGTGGAGTACTTCGTGTGGAAGTCCCAGAGAGACTGTTCGAGCAGCCGCCACCGCCACTACTCTCCCCTCGCCACTGTGACTTAGACCAGATGCCGCGTCAGCCCGTGACGTGGCTTGGCCTAGTGCCTCTGGTTTCCGCGCATGCATTAAGCGCTCACTCTGACCACTTCACCACTTCTGCCGTATACCACTTACGCAGCTTTTGGGTGCTCATGCCACATCAGCGCTCACATCTCCCACAAGCAGCCAGCAACCCGCCGCGTGCAAGCCACCAGCACCACGCCACATGTGAAAAGTCAGCGCCCCGCTACTCGCTTGTGACCAGCGCCTTGCCACCCGTAGGAAGCCAGCGCCTCGTCGCCTGCTAGCAGCCAGCGCCTCGCCGTCCATCCGTGGCCAGCGCCTCGCCGTCCATCCGTGGCCAGCGCCTCGCCACTTCCACGCCGCCTTTGCCTCGCCACTTGCTTGCTGCCATAGCAGCATCGTAGGCGCACGCACCCATGCAGCGCTAAGTCGCGCTTCCGAATTGGCACCCATAGTTTCTTTTTTTTTTTTTCTGACACCTCGAATGCTGGAAGCGCGAAAAGAAAACACGGCTGCTGATCCAATTGATCAACGGCAGGCCCAGCGATTGCCGTTTTGGCCTCGTTTTCCTGTGGCAACAGGTTTGGGACTGCAAGGCTGGGGCCGTGTACTAGCGGTTTAAACCACCAGTACCTTTCCCCGCTTGAAAATCAAATACGCGCCGGCATATTTGAAAGCCCAGCGGGGTTCGGTACTACCGGACCGAAACACGCCAGTTCGTTTTTTTTGCTGCGCAGAGCGATTTTGGCTGATCTTCATCAGCAGTAATCACACTCTTGAAACCTTTTTCTTCACTGCTATGAAAGAATGCTGCAGGCAACAACAGCAAATTTTGGAAGGTCTGGGAAAGGTACCCATGGCTAGTCAAGAGGGATCTGAGCACATGTCTGCAGTACGGCGACTTGTTTTCAGGTTACGCTGTCAGCCAGGAAGAATGAGGTGTTCTTTCTTCTTGTTTTTCTCCCCCCAAAAGGGCAATGGCCTTGAGATATTGTCATTGAATTGACCGGCCCCAGATAATGCAGAATGATTTTATTTTGGTAAAAAATAAATGAACAAATAATGATGAAAGTGTTGCATAAACTTCTCAATCACACAGATTACATCATTGAGAAGGCTACTTCAGAATGCAGCGCATACGACCACAGTCCAGAGTCAATGTCGTGGGCAGGAGGAAGGGAGACGCGCCTGCCCACAGGGATCACGCCCAAATCATACAAGAGCCTCAGAGAACATCAGGCCCCAAGACTCAGATACACCGACGGAGCAGGGGACCACACGTTGAGAAAAATGGAGGAAAAATTTCAGATCATGCATTTTCACTTTGAAGATCTCTACACCTCTCAGCAGCTCCCAGGGGCCCAGTGAAGTCTGACTCTATCACCTATATCATATTGTCAAGCACGCACTATGGCACTACTCTGCAACACCACTTAACTCTTGTACAGGCAACCAACTGTGGCTGCTGTATAGTAGTAGTTGTCAATCTCTTTGTAGGCAATTAACTGTGAATGTTGTATACTAGTAGCTCTCAAGCCCTTTGTAGTATATGAAGCCTGCAGGTGTCTCCATCCAGACACATGTTTGTTCAAATACATAATCACAATGTTCAGGGATGCTGGACCCGATTTCCAGCAGGTGCTGCTCCCCACCAATAGATGGAGCCTCCCCGGGAGTGCTAGCGGTGCGTGCTCTTATCAGCACCCCTAGCACCGACTCGGGCAGTATTTCGTTAAAAAAAAAAAAAAAAAAAAGGATCACACACATCATCTCTTTGTTAGGGTTTCGGGTTATTGCATAAAGGAAGCTGGACTCGACGTCCAGAGCACACATGCTACATCACTGATAGAGATTCGTGCTTAGTCTTGATTGATAAAGATCATACACATCACATCATTGTTATGGTTTCGTGTTTAAATTTTGACAGATACATCACACATACATCACACATACATCACACATACATCACATACATCACACATACATCACATCTTTCAATCTTTGTTAGAGTTTCGTGGATTGTTGTACATATATAAAGATATGGGGCAAGTACGTTTGTGTCACAAACGAAGTTCGAAAGGGCAAAAAAAACAATAATGGGCAACGAAAAAATGGCCCTAGTTCGAAAAGGCAGTCATAACATCAGAAGGCGGTAACATCAGGCCCCGAGTTTGAAAAGG